GGGGAAGAGGGGGAGAGAGGGGGAGAGAGGGGGAGAGAGAGAGAGAGATTTAACATGTGGATTTTAGAATCAGATGGCCTAAATTTGGACACTGATCCCCAACTGAAAGCTGGGTGCCCTTAGACAAGTAATGCAACCTCTCTGAGCCTAAGTTTTCCTATCATAAAATGGAGGAAATAATAATGCTTGGCATGGCAGGTGCTCAATAAATGTTAGCTACTATTAAGGGGAAAAATAATAAGTCAGGATATTAAGTGGCCCCTCAATAATATCTAAGAAGTTGTTTGTGAGCACAAACCAAAGTATAGCTCAATCTCATCCCTGGTATTTATCTTCCAACACAAGACCCTGTTCCCTGCCTTGTTGCCATAGCCAGGTATGCAGAAGCTGAGACAGCCTGTGCCCTATGTGGACACACTGCCTGGCAGGAAGGCTGGGCTCTGCCACCACTCTGGGCTTTCTCTCCCGGGACCCCACCCTTGTTCCCACCAGGGAGACATACGTGTCTGACTTGCCTCCCGGAAAGATCACCCACGTGCTGGGTTTACCCAAAGTGAAACATACTTTTTCTATCACAAAATGTGTGTCTATTTTCCCATTTGAAAGCTAATACTTCGAGGGCCATTTAACTTACTTTGGCAGTGGTTGCATGAGTTGTTTTGGAATAATATTTTAATGAGAATAAGCATTTATTAAGGAAATGAGACACCCCGTTATGACACTGCTTGAAAGCTATCATCTGCTAGCTTGTCTTATTCACACCATTATCAGCAGAGGCACTTAGGGACAAGTTGGAGGGGGTAGGCATGGAGACAATCCTGGGAAATTGCAATGGAGACCACAGAGAAGATCTATACTTAGCAATAATTAAACCTCAGATTAAGAATGCCAAGCATCCCCAAACTAATGAAGTCAAAAGTATAATTAGATTGTAAACTAGCCTCCCAGAGGTAAGGCAGTCCTGATTCCCAATCAGTGACACGAAAGGAGTCTCATTTTCTTTCCATTTCCCTTTAGAAAACATGATTCTTTCAGTGTTAAATGCAGTCGCCCTACCACACTTGTTTGCTTATCCCAGAAATCCTAGACACCATTCCTGAAGATAGGTTTCTGGTGGGCAATCTATTCCTTACCATTTATCTTTCCTAAATGCCACTGAAAGCAAGCAGACTGTGAGTCCTTAAAACCAGAGGGTGGGAGAAATATACTGCTTACTAGCACATTTTAAAGGTGTTATTGCCAAACAGTATTTCAGAAATGTTTACACACAAAAAGACAAAAATAAGCAGCTGAACACTATGTTTTAATGGCACCAGCCTCCTCCCTGTGTTAAATTAGAACAGTGGTTTGGATTTCTGTGGTCTGGAGTGGCGGTGGCTGTTGTCGGTCCTCTCTCAGGCAACAAGTGCTGCTGTACTGAAACTCACCAACATCCCCAGCGTTCAGAACCAGGAATGTGATTTAGTAATGACACATCTAACTCTAGAGGAGTCAGATTCCTTCAGAAAGAATGTGAACATTTTATCCAAAAACCATGAAATTTATGGTGTAGTACAGCTAATTGAAAATGAAATTGGAAAGAAATGAAAATAAACGTCATGTTTTAATAAGTTTGGAAGATTTAAGTATTGCAGCAACGGGGCACGTAATTTTCTTCTGGAGAATATATAAGGATGTCATTATTTTGGTACTTGTGACTCCAGGGAAGGAGGAAATAGAACAGAGACAGATGTTTGCAGAATGCAACAGATAGGTGGCGCCAAGGCTCACGGTAGATGAGGGATTACAGTCCCAAAGCCTGGGTCATTACAAAGGCCGTGACCAAGGTTTAAACCTTAGAATTAGAAAGTCGAACAAGTACCCTAAAAAGACATCTGACTTGCACAGGAGCATATACTTTGGCAAATGAATTTCTGTAGCTTCTATGGTGTCCACTGATTTTCTATTTGGTTAAAAAGTGTTTCATCCTGAGCAGGAGCGAAACCCCATTTCTACTAAAAATAGAAAAATTAGCCCAGTGAGGTGGTGCACACCTGTAGTCCCAGCTAACTGGGAGGCTGAGGCAGGAGGATCACTTGAACCCAGGAGTTTGGGGTTGCAGTGAACTATGATGATGCCATTGCACTCTAGCCTGGGCAACAAAGTGAGACCCTGTCTCATTTTTTTTAAAAATGTTTTAGGTTAATACTTCGATTTTAAGCATTTGCAAGGCTTGTCACTGTCTTCTATCATTTAGGAAAGCCAAAGTCTAAGGAAACGTTGGCTTTCTGAAGCATACTGAGTTAACAACTATGCGACATAATCAGGAACCCAGGCAAAACCTTGGGTTGGTTACCCATGGCAAATGGTCAAAATCATCCCACTTGGTAAAGGCAGCCTGGCTTTAGCCGCCTCAGGTGCAATTGCTTAGCTCCACCCCTTCCTGGCTGCAGCACCAACTTTGGGTTACTTGGCTACTTAGTTGTCTGAGATCCACTTTTCTTCTAGTTTACACAGGAGGCTGTCATATCTGGTATCCTAGGGCCTTCCAAGCAACACACAAACTGGCAAAGCTTGTCTTTAAATGCCTACCCCTTCATCCTAGTTGCCAGTTACTGTTTCTTCCAGATTTAGTTTCCACATATATAATGTAGGAGTTAAAATACCTACCAAAACAGTTATTGAGAGGATTAATCGCAGAGTGCCTGTAAGGGGTATTGCACAGTGGATGGCACTTAGTAGGTACTAAGAAATCACTGCTGTCCCCACCTTTCCTCTCCCTTACCAACCACACAAATGAATGCAAATTATGTGGTAACAGTTGGCAAGCAAACCTCTTAATAGGATATTTTCATGTTACGAGAGGTCTTCAAAGTGACTAATCTACCCAGGGGATTCACCAGTCTCTGGATCAACCTCTGGCACTGAGGCAGAAGGTGGGGCCTTTAGGCAGTGCCCAGACCACAGCGGGTAAACCATGAGCCTTCTCCACAGGTTGGCACACTGGTCCAGAATGCAGCATAAATCTCACCGAAAATGTGTTTAGGATTTTTAGGTGTGTTTTCCATTTCGGATCAGAATTAACGCTGAAAAGTACCCACACTGCAATAATGCTTCTTTACTCAGTAAAAAGCACAAGGAAAGTTTCGGGGTTTAGGAACTCACGTGGGAGCTGATGGAGCGAGTAGGTGGCTTATCTTTCCGAGAACTCAGTAACTACTGGCCTTAATGGCCAGCAAAGAGAAGACTCACTTCTGGCTAAAAGGTTAGCAACTGAGCCCCAGAGAAACTTTTAACCATGTGAAACTCTTTCCTTGATACAGAGGATCCTTTAATTAGAGCTGGCTAAGGAATGTGCATGTTTCTTAAAATGTAAATGAGAGAAGAGAAACTGAGGTGGGGAAAAAAGGAACACACACCACCGCATTTTTAAATTCTGTAGGCTGAAAACTGTACCCCATCTTTGGCGGTCGGTCACCTCCCTTCCAGGGGTCTCCTGATGTGGAGACATAAAGCCTTTGGAAGCAGAGTGAATTGGTAGGTCATTATCCCTCCGGATAGTTCCGCGCGAACTTTCAGACAAAACTCTTCCAGAGCCAAAAGTTAGGCTCCCTGGGCACCTCCCTCGGACAGCAACCCTGGCAGGTCAAAGAGATCGCGCTGCATGGTTTCTGGAGACTGGACACTCGGTCGCCGCGGTCAGATGGCATCTCACACCCAGCCTGGACCGCGCAGGACCGTTCTCCTAGCACGAAACCGGGAACTCGTGTGTGAAGTCCTGTGTAAACACCACGCCGGCCCATCTCCAAACGACTCCCTTTGATCCCTCGGCTGTGGTTATTTATCTCACATATAAATCAGGATTCTGCTGACAAATCTCCACGTTTCCACTAAACAGAAGGCTGCCCTGCAAAGCCCTTCTCCTTGTGATTCTTTCTAAAATACGATAACATCTGACACTTCCATAAAACGGCCTGCAAAGCACACCGCCCAGGGGGCGATTACCGGATGATCTGTGTCGCCCCGAACACAGGCGGGCACGCGAACGTCGTAGGCGCGCACGCGGGACGGAGAGCAGTTATTTTCCAGTCAGTGCAAATGATGGAAGAAGACGCCGAATGCACTTCCCGAGCCAGCTGAACTCCGTGGGCACCTAATCACTGCCAGATGTGGGGAGGGCGCACGGAGAACATCCCGCGTCCCGGAGAAAGCACCGGCCGCCGGCACCGGGGCTGCCCGGACCGAGAAGCGGCAACGCGGGAGGACAGAGGACGGGGCGAGAGGGGGGAGCGCGGCAGAGCGGAAAACCGACTGGGAGGGATGATGATGCCTCCACTCTCCTCGGCATGTTTTTCCAATTAAAAAGCTGGAAACTGAATTCCGTAAACAACGCCTTAGGGCTTCAAACTACTTTGCACAGACAGTTCGGGGAGGAGAGTACTTGCGCGCTTCGAAACCCCAACCTCGAGGTCCCCTGAGGTGCCCGACACGCGAGCCGGGGACGCCCCCAGTGTCCGCGCGCGGACCCGGCGCCCGCAGCCCCGGGGAAAGTTCGCGCCGGAGGCACCGCCGCCTCCCGCGCGCCCCAGCCCCGCCGGCCCGCAGCCCCGCCGGCCCGCCGCCGCCCTACCTTTCATGGTGACCGAGGAGACGCACCGCCAGCCAGGGAGCTCCGCGCGAGCGCCGCGCTGCCGAGGACGTCGCCCTGAGCGGCCGGTCACTGCACGCCCATGGCAGCCGCGCCGCGCGCCGGCCGTCCGCGCTCCAGCCCTCCCTCGCCGCCGCGGCCGCCCGCCCGCGCTCCGCTCGCCGCCCGCTCGGCGCTCTGCTGCCGCGGGGCTGCCGCGCGCGCCGCTCTCCCCGGGCGGGAGGCGCCGCTGCCGCCAGCGCCCCTCCCCCTGGCCCGGCCGGGACGCGCGGGCGGCCGCGCCCACGCCCCTCTCGCGCCCTCCCGCGCCCGCCCCGCCCTCGGCCCCGCTCGCCCCTGCCCGGCACTTTCTCGCCTTCCCTCTCCTGGGCGCCCTCGCCCTCGCTCTCCCGGGCTGTCTCCGTTTCCCGTTCGACCGGCATCGGAAGGAGTCGGGAGGAAAGCGCCTCCCGGGGCGGTCCAGGCTTCCCCCTCCGCGCGCGCGAAAGGTGCCGCTGCTGGGCTTGTTTCTAGACCCCAGACTACCTACAGAATGTGGGCAAGAGGGTCGGGAGCGGCAGTGCCACGGGGGCGGCAGGGTAAGTTTGTCCCTTCTCCAAATGGCTCTGGGGCATAGAAAATTAGAGAACATTCTGGGGTTCAAACTTTCCAAATGCGTGCGCTTGTGGACGCTCGACAGCGCGGGCTGTCACTCACGGAGAGCCCCAGTCGCTAGAATCCGAAGTCACCATTAGACACTCTCCCTGCAAAACTCGGAGCAAGATTACAACTCTTGCACGTTCCAGAAAAAAACCCATCACACTCTGCCTTGGCTGGAAAGTTACGCGTTCGCCCACCGGCCCTGAAATGCTCAGGTTGACGCCTGCTCTGCTTGGAAAGGAAGCTGGGCTGTTGAGAGGTTCATAAGCTCCTTTCATGTCGCCCATCACGTCGCCCCACTGTGTACTTAATTAAGAAAGTCCGTGTTTACCTTTCCTTTTAGAACCCCCCCTAAGCTGACCCATTCCTTTATTGCTTTAAAACATAAACTAAGTGGTGAGCGGAGCTGTGGGGAGGGAGGTGCCGAGGAACTTTCTTCAGCACGCTGAAATGACAGATCACCACCCAAACGCACTAGCACACCAAAAGCAGAATGCTGGCTGAGCAGTGGTTGCAGCTTTTCCGTCTGCCCTCGTGAGGACTTGGCGACGCGGTGTAACCGACCGGCTGATTCACTCTAAGTGGGGGATTCTTTGCTCTAGCAAAAGGCAGTGCCCACAAATGAATACATTCTAAACATTTCATAGACGGTCCTCCATTCCAGAAGCTTTCTTCTTTGAATGTAAGGCGTGAACTAGGTCATGACTAGCAAAGAAAAGACTGAAACTGGCACTTCTTTTTTTCCGCTTTTAGGGTTGACGAAACTACAGGGTCTTGAAGGTCACTCTGAAGTGTGTCCGGATCTCACTGAGGTACCTGACTTGTTCGGTAGGGCGAGTGAGGGGCCCTGAAGGGAGCCCAGGGTGTGGTTTTTCGGCCCAGAGCTTACTAACCAATGGTGGGATGGAGAAAGCTAATCAATATCTCTGCTCTTTAGTATCTCCAACTGTAAAATGGACAGAATATTGGCTCCAATTTCAACATTTGAATTGAAAAAAATCATTTCTGGTGGCCAGGCGCGGTGGCTCATGCCTGTAATCCTAGCTCTCTGGGAGGCCGAGGCGGGCGGATTGTTTGAGCTCAGGAGTTCGAGACCAGCCTGAGCAAGAGCGAAACCCCGTCTCTACTAAAATTAGAAAGAAATTAATTGAGCAACTAAAAATATATAGAAAAAATGAGCCGGGCATGGTGGTGCATGCCTGTAGTCCCAGCTACTCGGGAGGCTGAGGCAGGAGGATCGCTTGAGCCCAGGAGTTTGAGGTTGCTGTGAGCTAGGCTGACGCCACGGCAATCTAGCCCGGGCAACAGAGTGAGACTCTGTCTCAAAAAAAAAAAAAAATCATTTCTAAAAGCTAAATAGTGAATATGACAACAAAAATACAGGCAACACAAGCAAAAAATAGATAATTTGTACTTCATAAAAGTTAAAAACTTTTGTGCATCAAAGGACACTATCAACAGTGGAAAGGCAACCCGTGAATAGGAGAAAATATTTGCAAATCATGTGTCTGATAAGGCATTAATATCCAGAATATATAAAAAATTCCTACAACACAGCAGCAACAACAAAACCAAACAACCCATTCAAAAATGGGCAAAGGACTTGAACAGACGTTTCTCCACAGAAGATGTATAAATGGCCAATAACCACATGAAAGGATAACTCAATCACTAATCATTAGGGAAATGGAAGTCAACCACAATGAGATACCACTTCACACCCATTAGGATGGCTATTTGTAAACACACACACACACACACACACACACACAGAAGATAAATGTTAGGATGTAGAGAAATTGAAACCTTTGTGCATTGCTGGTGGGAATGTAAAATGGTATGGCTACTGTGGAAAACAGCATGGTGGTTTCTCAAAAAATGAAACACAGAATTGCCATATAGTTCAGCAATTCCTCTTCTGGGTATATACCCAAAGGAATTGAAAGCAGGGTCTTAAATAGATATTTGTTTGTTACTCAAAATAGCCAAAAGGTGGAACAACCCAAGTGTCCATCGTCGGATGAACGGATAAATCAAATGTGGCATATCCATACAGTAGAATATTATTCACTCTTAAAAAGGGAGGAAATTCGGACACATGCAACAAGGATGAAACTTGAGGGCATTATGCTACGTGAAATAAGCTAGTCACAAAAGGACAAATATGATTCTGCTTATAAGAGAGACTTAGAGAGTAGGACTCATAGAGACAGAAAGTAGATTGGTGGTTGCCAGAGTCTGGCGGGAATAGGGAGTTGTTGTGTGGGTACAGAGTTTCTATTTGGCAGGATGAAAAGAGTTCTGGAAATGGATAGTGCTGATGATTGCACAACAATGTGAATGCACTTAGTGCCACTGAACTATAGACTTAAAAATGGTTAAGATAATGAATGTGTTATATATATTTCACCACAATAAAAAATTCTAATAGAAGAAATATAAAGTATTAATAAAGAAACTCCTGAACCCCCTTAAACCTATGGTGTTAGCTGTGTTACTGAGCCAGACTCACAGATCTGCTGATAAGAGAACAGGCTTGGCAAATCTTTCAAGGATCCTGGAAAGTTGCCTTCTGCCCCCAACCCCCTCATCTTCAGCACAGAGTGGACTGGGCCCCACGGTTGGGTCCTGCAGGTCCCCAGTCTGGCCCATTCTCTGAGCCCCATTCCGGAGGATGCAAGGGCTGGAGGTTGGGAACACTTGCAGGTCAATAGCTGACCAAGATTTCTCTGTTCAAGAACTCTGGGAGGAACTGGGGATTGAGCTGGGGCTTGGGAAGAGGAGAAGGGAAAGAAGAGAATAATATGATCGGGAAGGACTGAGCCTTCAGCCTTGTAGCTGAAGATGCTTTGAACTTCTCAGAGGAGCTGGGCTCAGGGCCTCCTGGTGGCAGGCAAGCTTCCCGCCCCAGAAGCAGCTGCCAGGCCCTCACTCACGCCACAGTTATAGCACCTGGAGGAGGCATCGTCTCATCTAATCCTCATCCCAACCCCACGTTGGTATTTCCTTTTTACAGATGAAAAAAGCTCAATCACCCTTGACTCCTCCCTTTCCCTCAACCCTCCATCCTCATCAAGCTCTGCTGCTGCCTGAGAAATATATCTCAAACTTCTCTGCCGCTCTCCACCTCCACTGCCTCCCCCGCGTAGAGCCCACCAGAGCCCGTCGGGACTGCCGCACCAGCCCTCACAGGGCCTCCCACCCGACCTCTGCTCCTCCTCACTCTAGGCTCCAACATACAGCAGCCGGAGTGGCCACGAAAGACAGATAAGAGATGGGCAACAAACAAGCTGAACTCTGCAGTGTTCCCAGCTTGCAGCCTTGAGAGAGTTTCCAGGCTGTGAGACAAAGAAGGGGGACCCAGGCAGAGCCCAGTGCACACCATGAGTGGAAGAGAAGCTGACAGTCCATGGAGACCAAGGCAGGACAGAATCCTGGAGGAGAGCGAGCCTCAGTCTGTCTGTGCGCCCAGCTGGGATCACTACAATACCTTGATCTCTAACAATATCCTTCCACTCCAGCTGGCTGCCAGAACATTCCAGCAACTTTCATGGCCACCGCCCCCACCCATTTGCCCACGCATTTCTCTTCCCTCCGTATGCAGCATCTTTTGCTCCATTCCAGCTGGGCTATTTAGAGTCTCCCTACCTATCATGGGCTTATTCCCATCCATGAAGTTCTTTGCCTTTCATTCCACCTCTGAACACTCTCCTTTCTCCACCGTGTCAGTGCGTGTATCCATGTTATCATGTCAGGTTCGAATCATCCTCGTCGTGCTAACTCCACCGAGGGTGGTTGCTGCTCTTCTCCCAGCAGAGCTTCCTCTGCCAAATGAGAGGAGGCTTAAGAATTCTCATGGAAAGAGCTTCTGCACACTTCTCCACCACGGTCACTTTCTTTTTTTTGAGACAGAGTCTCGCTTTGTTGCCCGGGCTTGAGTGAGTGCCGTGGCCTAGCTCACAGCAACCTCAAACTCCTGGGCTCAAGCAATCCTTCTGCCTCAGCCTCCCAAGTAGCTGGGACTACAGGCATGCGCCACCATGCCCGGCTAATTTTTTCTGTATATTTTTAGTTGTCCAACTAATTTCTTTCTATTTTTTAGTAGAGACGGGGTCTCGCTCTTGCTAAGGCTGGTCTCGAACTCCTGACCTTGAGCGATCCACCCGCCTCGGGCTCCCAGAGTGCTAGGATTACAGGCGTGAGCCACCGTGCCCGGCCAATGGTCACTTTCTTTACTGTTTTTATGGCCCTCCACAGGAGAGTCTACGGTCATTATCTCAGACACCTTTTGGCTTCACTTTCTTGTCGGGTCTGGGGGTGCCTGGCCATAGCAGGTATTATCTTATCACCTCTGTCCACCATACATATGCTTATCACTTCCAAGGGTCAGCAATTTCTTGCTTGCTTTCTTTTTTTTTTTAATGTAGTGACAGCTGACCATTTAGGAGAAATGAGCCTTACCTTTACATAGCTTCGTGGTCAGCAATTTCACTGTGGCCTGAGTCACTTGTCATAAATGACACCATTTTGAGACATTTAGGATTATAAAGCATTATTATATATCA